ATTTATACGTATATAAAGAAATTTATTGAAAGACGCAAAATATTCAACCTTTTTAAAGATTGAACAATTTTTTTATTTATACAGAAAATTATGACCATCAACCTCCTCCCGCGCAAGTCGCGGGTCCTATATCTAGTTATAGTAGTAAGTGAAAATATTAATTTTTATCAGTCTCCATATATAATATTATAATGAATATATATATATATATATATATATATATATATATATATATTTATATAATACTCAATTATGGATAACTTTTCTTAAAATATGAAAGCGGAAAGTAATATTATTTTTAAAAAATTAATATTGTTGGAACAATAAAACAATGACTTAATTTATGCTAATAACCACAAAATAAGATTGCATATAGTTCTGTTAGATCAAAAATCAAAATATCATAAATGAATTGCATCTAAAACATAGATTATTTTGATTTAATTAAGAAAGTTAACTAGTATTATTTTGAATTAATTTAGAAAGTTTCTTTTTCAATTTGTAATTCTTTGGTTGTTGAAAAAGATATTTGTTTGAGCTAATTACGGAATTTAGCAATTATTCGTATAACCGAATATGTTATGAACATAGTATTGGTATATAATAATACCAAATTCAACCTGTGTGTGGAGTCTATATTTTATTTTAGAATCCCAATGAAAACATTGCGTGCACAATCCATCATTCGTTATCTTCAAAATTGATTGCAGATTCAAAGTTTAAAATATTTAGAAGTGTCAAACCTGATTTAATCTAGCTCATCATATAATCTTAACATGTCGACTGTTATAATGATCATAACTCTTTATGTCATATAATACATTACATTTAACCCGCCGCCTACTATAAATATTATAAATATATCTAGTTAAAAAAATCAAATGAATTTATTTATAATTTTTATCTTTTTGATCTATTAAATATTTATTATATTATTTAAAATATTAAATTAAATTATTTTTAAATGTTCCAAATTAAAATATTTAACTCTTTATTGTAGTATATAAAATTACAAATTTCTAAAAAAAACTGTATGAAATTAAATATAAATATTCAAATAGTTATAAGGATCATAACTCATTCCATCATTATATTTAACCCGCCGCCTATTTTAAATATATTTGTTTTACAATATCATATTAAAGTATTTATTATTTTTAACTTTTTGTTCTTTTAAGTATTGATGATATTCTATTAAAATATCAAGTAAAACTATTATTAAATGTTCCAGATTAAAATATTTTAAAAGTTTATTTTAGTATATAAAATTATACATTTCAAAAAAGAAAAGTATGAAATTGAATATAAATATTCAAATTCTAACCCGTTATTCAGTCGGAGTTTTGTGGAATTTATTTTTGTTTAAAAGAAATCTATTACTCATGTCTTAGTTTTTGACCAGTTAAATCTTTTCCTTTATAGATTGAATAATTTATATTTATTTTTTTGCTCTAACCATTTGCTCCGCTGTTTTTTCAAACTGCACTTGCGCTTCAGCCTGTCAGAGTCTTTCCTTCATCAATGCACTTTCAGAGGGATCAACACAATTTGCATACTGGATGATAACATCCCTTAATTCTCACATCACAACATCCATTGCAGCTTGAAAACCGCTTTATAAGGTGAGCAGATTGGTCTACTTGATTCTCCTTCTTTTTCCTGTCTAGAGCCTCGCTCTGGGTCTATACAATCTCTAGAATAACCCAAAGTTTCTTTGTGGGAGAGATTATCTTTTCTCATTGGCTTGTATCTAGAGCTACTAGAGAAGTATCTAGATCTATGCTCAACAGAGAATTGAGAGGAGTTGTAGCCATGCTCCAAAGTTTGTCTCTTGCTGGAAGGGGGGGGCGCTCATGGTGATGATAGGAATAAGACCTTAAGCCATCCTGAGGAGAGGAATGAAGACTAGGATGAGGGAAATTAGCCATGCGATTAGTGGGAGAAGCATCCCTGAGTTTGGTGGGAGAAGTATCCCTACGCCTGATGGGAGAAGTATCCCTACGTATACTAGGAGAAGTATCCTTGGATTTGTAATCTCTAGGCCGCTCCTCGACATGTCGAAGATGATTGTCTATTCAAAAATACTCCCTCTATTTCACAAAGAGTGTCATTCTACCATTTTGCACACAAATTAAGAAAAACATTTAAATTTCCTTTTTATCCTTTATTATACGCTAAAATAGTTTCTCTCTCTAATTAATAAGTTGAAAAAACAGTGATAAATTGAGATTTGATTTAAAAATCTACATTGAAAACACAAAAAGACACTATTTATGAAACAAAAATAAAACCTTAGAACGACACTCTTTATGAAACGGATGGAGTAGCATTTATGCATTTAATAATGGTTTATTGCATGTGTTTTATACTCCCTCTGTTTTTTGATATTTGATGTTTTAGTAGAATGCACACAGGTTAAGAAATTATTTAATTTTTGATTATTTCTAAACTAAAACATCATTTATTATCTACTCAAACATGATTCAACCAATAAAAAAGACAATCTACATAATATAAATCGTCAAAACCAATAAAAAACTAATTAATTGCATTAAAAATTAAAACCATCATCTAATTTAAGACAAAAAATTTCTCCTAAAACATTAAATAAAAAAATAATGGAGAAAGTAGATGTTTGATACATATTTAGATCTTATAAATTATGTTTATCGTCGATTACCTATGTCACTAGATTGTTTGATATGTTGATCATTGATTTTGTAATTTTATTAAAATCTAGTGTTATTAAAAATTTAGTGTACGTTATTCATTAAACACAACTTCAAAATACCATGGATGTGCATGAGATTCTTAAAAATTTTATAAGTAATTTTTTAAAATTAAACAAAACTCTCTACAAATTTAATTAGTATATCTACTTTCAAAATCAACAAACTCTATAGAAATCCAACTATTTTTTGGATTTTCAAATAACAAAATTTACCCTCACATTTAAACTTTAATATTATTAACTTTAAAAAGCTTTCAATTTTTTTAGAATGTGAAATCAAATCTAAATTCAATAATAAATCAATAAACAAATATCATTGTGTTTTAATTAATACTAGGTGAGTACCCGCACTACGTGCGGGCTTTCACTTTATATTTCATAATTATAAGTATATAAATGTAAACATTATGTTAGTTTTTGTTAATAGGCAAGAAGACAAAATTTCCCTTATAAACGAGATTACCCTGATACTAAGCATATAAATCTACTTTTTTTTTTGCATTTACATTTAGATTCCTAATAAAAAACTGTTCTCACTACACATTATCTTTTTATAATATTCTTTCATTACTGTTATCCTTAAACCAAAAGAAAAAAGACAAAATGCAAAAAAAATTGGAGTACCCGCACTAAATCAATTATCATGGTATTTAGGTACAAATGTTAAGCATTGATAATTGGGCTGTCGTTTCGTTTGAACAACGATGTTATTAGTTTATAGCAAATAAACAAATAGAACCAAACCTTGATAAGCCTTATTGATTTGTCGAAACATAAATGTAAAATAATTCTCGTCATTAAATTTTTATCGTTGCCACATTTGCAAAAACAACTAAAACAATACGAACTCCATCACTGAAGAACTCCATCATTGAGGATTTTAGTCCAATAATTTGATGTTAAAGGTTCTAACGTTCTCCTCACCATTTTTTAATATATTATATAGAAAAGTTTTTAAGAGAATAACCTACTCAAAAAATTCCGGAGTATGAGAAACCCTAATAAAATAATTATATTGAAGAAAAAAGAAATAATAATTAAATATAATTAGTAATAATACAATTAAATATGTTAATTTTATAATATGTATAATTAAATAATATATGTTCCACTAACTTACATTAATTATTAGTAGACACATGTCAAATGCTAAAGTAATGATGTGTCACTCATATGGAGAGAGTTGGCCAACTTTCATATATATGATTTAGAAATTATTAAACGAATTATATTTTTTTTGACAAGGATTATTGGAGATCATTGATAAACAACACGTGATTTTGACTGGACTTCCAAATCAATTTAAACCGCTAACCACTAAATCCTACTTAATACTGTGGCTTATGAAAGTTTTTTCTTTGTATCCTCATCCATTGGATTTTTGTGAATTTATATTTGAAAAAATAAAAAGAAGGGCCACAATTATTTCATGTTTTAGCCATCTTTATCTTAAGGTTGACTCTGGTTATAAGTGTGTATGTAATGAAGTCAACGGGAGTGAGAACCATCTTGACTCGTTGGATAAGGTTGGCTAGTTTTATTTTCTTCTTAAACCGTTTCTTTTTGGCTAAGTAAGAAAACTATTAGTATTAACTATTAGAGTGAATTAGCGCAGATGTAAAAATGGGGGAGGAAATTAGCTGAGAGACAATAGGGTTGGACGTCCAAGAAAACGATACAAAAGGCGTTCAAAAGAGGCTCGGGTTTGTAATTTATTACGAAATAACCGGCTACAAACGTTAACATGCGCGTGGGATTTGTTTTGTTGCCTCTTCGAATGAACGAAATAACATTCTGACAAGTATTAAATGAACTGCAGTTGAAGTGAGACTTATTCGGCTACAATAAAAATGATGCGACACACATTTAATGCATTGATTTGGGAGATAGCGACGAAATTTAAAAACATGATTTAGACGGGAAGCAGTTTTAGACGGGAATCGAAAAATGTAAACAACTAACATAGTTGCATGGACACCCAATAAATAGTTCTTCGAATTTTTTAAACAACTAACCTAATTGCATGGACACCCAATGAATATTATATATGATTTTGACATTTGTATACATATAAACACATACATAGAGCGTTAGAAATAATTATAGTATTAAATAATTTGGTCTATGTATATATGTTAATATATATATATATATATATATATATATATATATATATATATAGACCGTTATTAACATTTGTGTACATGTAAACACGAACATGGAGCATTATTAACATTTGTATACATGTAAACATATATATATATATATAGAGCGTTATTAACATTTATATACATGTAAACCATCAACAAGGAGTAAACAAGCATATTTAACACGCAACTCAGGGGACAACTCTTTCGGCCTTCACAGTTTTGCAAGTAACATCTCGCCGATGAAATATTCCTCTCCCCCGAAAAGAGTAAACCAGTACGGCGTCACACCAGGAGGAGATTTAAGCAGGGACTGGTCTAGAGGCGGGAGAGGGCTGCAGTTGAGACCAGTAACCAACCCGAACTCTCTCAGAGAGAATCTTATTGGCTTTCCGGCAAAAATGACCCAAATTTCATGGCGTTTAACAACATTCAGCTGGCGGGTGAGGAGAAAGTGCGCTAATTTTCCAGAGAAAACAGGCTTAGAGTATATATCAAGCAGTTTCCCAAAACAAGGACGAATGGTATCAAGCTCTTCCGTCGTCAACGCCTTCAGTACCGCCTTAATTGTGTTTAACTTGAAGTACATTTTCACCCGATCACCGGCAGGTTCTTGCCTGTCCGCAAATAGCCGAGAAGGCAAATCGACATTTGCCATGTTCCTGCGGAGTTTCATGCAACAAAACAGAGTCAGATTGGAGATTTACAAAGAAAAAAGTAAAACATGCAAGGTATGAAAACCGATCTATGACATCTATTGAACAATTATGCAGATCTATAAAACTGAAATACAGATCTATAAAAATATGTGAAGGTCCATGCAGATCCATGGAGAAAACATACAGATCTATTGAAAAATATGAAGAAGTAAAAAGATATATGAATATAAAATAGAGATCTATAGAATATGTAAAATAGTACTCAGTATAGGCATCGAACGAGCGATCAATTGGGTCCCCATGAAGGAAGATGAAGAACCAAAACCGAATTTAGTTTGGAACAATTATTTTTACAGCGAACCAACTACGGAAAACGAAACGATAACGAGAAAACTTGGATTTAATAGGAAGAAGGTAGTAAAATAGAAATGGATAGACGCATTTAAAAAGAGATCTTTCCGGCAAATCGCTTGTTGTAAAACGGAGAATCAAAATCGAAACACAAAAAAATTCTCAGAAATATAGAAACAAAAACAAAGATTTATTTTTTGGGAATAATAGGTCGGCGATTCGCCGGAAAGAATAAACACGAAAACAAGCAAACTCGCTGGCTCACCGTTAAAAGTGGAGACACACTGAACCGCCTCTGCGTTAACGGTAGTAGGAACGGCTTTGCCGGAACCAACGAAGAAGAGAATCACTGGAGTCACTACAAGAAAAATGGCTTTTCGTAGCATCCGAATAACGCTATCTAACTATTTTATAGCGTTTTGACAAGCGCTGTATCTGCGCCCGTCATAATAGGTCCCCCGCTTTCGATAGCGGTTTTTAGCACTGCTATTGTATCTTAGTCAAATATAGCATTCTCTTCTATGTAATTGTATATTTTACAATAGCAATTATACTTTGTTACGAATTGTTTTATTCATACCATTTTATATATATTAAAATTTCTTTAATTAATCTCTAGGTTTTCTTTTTTGATTTTTTGGATAATTTGACAAATTAAAAAAAAAATGTCATATTTTATTACGTTTATATAAAAACCATATACAAAAGACCTATATTCCAAAGTAAAAGTACAAATTAAAAAACAAATTTCATACAAGTCTTGTATTTAACTTATGAATTTTTCACACCCTTGAACCTCTTGGACCTTCAATCTTTGAAATTAAACTTCTTTGCCGATATCATCAACATTATTTGCTTCTTCCTTTGCCAAGAGAAATGTCCTTATGCGCCTCTTGCGTCCACCATATTTCACACGGTCCTGTTTTGCTCACAAGGAAAAATATATGCAAGAACGTCAAAAAAATATATGCTCAATATTTGGAACAAAAAAAAAAAAGATGAGATTAGAGATTATACTTTGCCTGAGATTGTTGAGCTTTCCATTGCCACAAGATTGAAAGCAAACTAGAAAGCTAATTAGTCAAACAAACAAAATTAATCAAATCTGAAAAGGCAAAGAAACTACGATGGTGAGTTAGAGGAAAAAGAGCAAGCTATTGTAAGTGTGGAACAGAAACGTTAACGTCCAGATCTGGAAGTTGAAAAGGCAAAGAAAAATTAGATCTATGTAACGAAAGATCTTATTTACCTTACAAATATAAGAAACGAAACCCAGATCAAAGAAACAAGAATAATATTGATTTGAAGAACAACGAGATTCAGATCTGAACAAGTGGAGACGGAGGAACGACGAGATCTGAATCAGGATTCTTATGCCGAGGAAGAGAACGAGGTTGTGGGAAGAGAGGGAACTCGACTAGGTCATTGGATTTAGGAGGGTTTGCCTTGTGGTGTTTCTCAGAGAAGGAGATACAGATAGTTAGAAGAAAATGGAGAAGCTTACGAAAGAAGAAGAAAGAAAAAGATAAAGAAATTTGTAAATTGTTTTCTTTTTTTAATTAATAAGTTAAAAAAAATTTAGGTCAAATGGTTTTGGAGCCCAAATTTCACGTAGGCGGGAACTAAATAATTTTACGCGCTACTCCTTCCATAACGTTTTAATATGTATCTGCTACTACATATACATATAAAAATAAGCAGAAGTAACAGTTTTCACGAGTATAACATATCATAGCGGTTTTTAGTTTATAAACGCTATAAAAAAATCAACAGTAAGTCAACCATAGCAAAAACACATAAACCGCTATCTTCTAATGCTATTAAAACCTAATATTCTTGTAGTGAGTGAAAAATGGAGAGAGAGTGAGTTCATAGGGTTTCCAGATTCAAATGGCGGGATGAGGAGAAGAGAGATTATGAAATAGAAACGAAGCGTCAGACACCACTTTTATTGCCTCGAGAACTGCATAATTTAGTTCCAAAGTCTCAAGTAATGGGCTAAGTTTTGGATCGCAATAACGAAGCGCGTAAGGGTAAAACAGACAAAAAAGTGGGCTAAATATTTATCTTGTCTTGGGCCCGACAAGATTATACCGAAAATTTTATTTCCTTCTGATTCTATGTCTCTCACCCAATTATCTCTAACTATTAAGTATGATATTATCTTAAAGATTGGTTCGATAATCTTCTCTTATATCTACAACCTCACGTGATCATTTCCTGTTGCACTATGTAGACTATAGAGAGTATAGACCCTTCTTCTTGAAACAAAGCTCTTTTTTGTTCAAGCTCTTGAAACAAAGCTTTTCTTTGACAACCAAAAACCAAATCCATTAATCATTTTCTTTGCTAAATAAGTACATGTCATATAAAATGAAGATGGTTTGGATTTTTGTGTTGATTACCTAAGCTTTTAGTGGCCTGGCAAAAACAAAAAAAAAAAAAAAACAAAGAAGTAAAAACAATATTTATATTTAGCCGTTTAAATGAAAGTTCTTCAATCATTTTTGAACAAAACTCAAGCATGCACGTACGTGTTTGGACCTTATTTTAGTAAAGTTGATTCACTGCTTCTTTTGCTTTGGACTTCTATTTTTTTTTATGGCCTACAAAATTCATGGTCCAAAAAGACTTTACCGATCTGAAATTTAATATCTTTAAATACAAAAAAAAAAGAGATGGAAATAATAATGTGCAATAATGATATAATGGGGTTGCTTCAACTACTTCCCGTAAAATGCATCAGCCATTTGACTCATTTAAGAAGACAGCCATAAGTTAGATATCATCATTAACATCTCAACATCCATAACTCTCTTGTCAACATTACCAATTTCCCATACATCTTAGCAACTTCTTTTAACAACTACTTTTTTCCTTTTCAAGTTTAACCTAACAGAGTTTTTGATCACATACTCCCTCCGTCCCACAAAGATAATTTTTTTAGAAATTTCACATTCTTTAAGAAATAATGTATAATGACAATTTTAACCTTTAATCATTTAATATATTTTAAAAAATATATTATTTATTGTTGTTTAATGAGGGTAAAATAGGTAAACTGTATTAAATTTGACATTGGAAACCCAAAACTTCTATCTTTGTGGGACAAATTTTTTTTCTAAAACATTCATCTTTGTGGGACGGAGGGAGTATTTAATTTACATATTTAGAAAATATTATGATGTCGTGTCCCGTTTGTGGATTATTGTTATTATTATTATTTTCTCTTTTCGAAGGTTTTATCATAATTTTAAAATTCCATAATTATCCGATCATATCAATCATAATGTTTCGTCAACTTTAAAACTACTCCCTCCGTCCCACAAAGATGAATGTTTTAGAAAAAAAATTTGTCCCACAAAGATAGAAGTTTTGGGTTTCCAATGTCAAATTTAATACAGTTTACCTATTTTACCCTCATTAAACAACAATAAATAATATATTATTTAAAATGTATTAATGATTAAAAGGTTAAAATTGTCATTATACATTATTTCTTAAAGAATGTGAAATTTCTAAAAAATCTATCTTTGTGGGACGGAGGGAGTATAAGTTATATATAAAGTGTTCATCGTATTTTTTCGATGTGGACGTAATTATGTCCACCATTCACTTTTTTCCTTTTTTTTTTTTTTGTAACTCAACCATATAAAACACACGCACTTAAAGAAAACCATTTGGGCATGTGTTGTCCTTGGTGTGTCACATGCATCAGTTCTGCTTTTTATTTTTAATAGTATGAACTAATAAAGTTTTTGACTTTACATATGACCAATTCAAACATTTATATTTAGAGAAAATTTAAGTCAGTGTAGCTTTCTTATGTAATGATTTACAAATGTGTGCCACTCGTATGTAGTCTTTTAAAGAGGTTAGTAGATTACTAGTTGTTATCCCGTCTTCCTCATATTTTAATCAATGGAAAACAAAATGTGGCAGTGATCGGAAGACTGCCACAGGTACTTAAGCGAACATGATAATTACAAACTTGGTGCCATTAACAAACGATTCGATAGGTGTGTCGCTTAAAATTCTCTGTTTTTATTTTACTTTCCTTAAATTATAAGCGATAGTTCGTCGATATACGAATCAAATGATAATTATTCAGTTGATCTTTGATTTAAAAAAAAATTATTGGTAATTTGTTTCTATCACTTGGAATTGGTGTTTATAGTAGAGTTGGAATCGAGGATTTGAATAGCTAGGTTCGAGAATTATTTTACCCTTGAGAGTTGAGACTTGGAAGCGTCATCTCGCTTTGAATTCTCCTACGATGTTAGGGTTAGACTCCCATGGTAGGGGTTCCCATTTACTCTTTAATGCAACTGAACGGGCTTTTCTATTTGATCCGGAGATAACATCAGATGCAATGATACAAAGAACCTTCAGATTGTAAACAATGAGACGATCACAAGTCGCAACATAAGAGAATTCTACATTAAACATTGCACCAAGGCCTAGCTTGATAGAAAGAAGTAACAAATCACAAACTTATGAGGTAAATTTTTTTTTCTTTTCATCATATCTCTATGTTATGCTAGGTTGATGAAATGAGAATACACACATATCTATAACCTGTTCACTGTCCTCGGGTTTATTATTGCAACTAAATGTCTAAATGGTCAAGTGCATTTTTATACTCTCTATAGGTACCTCTACTATATATATGGTAATCTTTGGTTAAGCACTCACTAGCAATTAAGTAGCAACTAGCAAACGTCTGGATTGCTCTTTATGCATGTGATATGTTTCTTTTAATGTTAATCTAGGATGAGATTGTTTAAATTTTGTTGTGTTTAACTAATGTGTTAAGATCATATAAGAAGCGTAGTAGATGTATAGAAGAACATGACAAATGGTTTAGTATGTCTTATCACATTTCTCAAACTTTTAAAATCGTACGTATATGGATCTTAGTATTAGTTTATGCGGGGGATTGGGTCATTATTTATTTCTCTTTTATTTTGCTACTGCATTAGGCTGCCTAAAAGTGTCTTAAGCAATAAAGCTAATTTAAGCATAATGTAGCCGCTCCCATATACATAGGTCTCACCACCAATCGATTCATTGTAGGTAACAAAAGTTATTGATTATAATTAAATGAGTCGTTGAGAATTTGTTTACATTTGTAAACTCTTCTGGCCAAATTTAAGTGCCAAGGTTACGTGAACATAATTACCACATATATATTCAAATCATAAATGAATTGGGTCTAAACAAATACAAACAGTCACAAAAAAATATACAATGTAAAAAAGGGTCTAGAACTATATTTAAACCATGAATGAATTTGTGTAAAGTTGTAAACTCTTCTGGCTCTTTGTCTACCTTGACCATGTACTGTTTTATTGTCACGCTCTTTGGAGTAAGCGTCCACACAACGTAAAGACATTTCCTGAATACAAATATGGACGTTTACCAAATCAATGTCGTGACAATTGTGTCATGGACCCGAAACTTGGCAGTTGGAGTTGAGCTCACTCCTAAACGGTTGAAGCGTTCTCTACATGCTCACCAAAATATGAAAAAACTAGTGTTCTCGAACGAACACTACCTATAATGATTTAACCGTCCGGAGAACTCGAAAATTGATCCTAAACAAAAATATATAAATATATGTATAAATCTATTAACATTTATTTAATAATAAATCAGTGGCACAAACATTAATTTTACAAAATTGAAGTTGTATTTTTATTTTCCTTCTCACTTAATATATAGGATATTTGACTACTACTATAAATATAATACACATAGATTTTCGTTGAACACAATCGGTATTGCAAAATTTCTGATGTATACGTCTTTTTCAAGTAATGAAAAATTATCAGCTTAGCTTTTCTCTATTGGCAGTTCTCATCCCCACTGAAAAATTATGTTTCCACTTCTTTTTTAGCTTAGATACAAACATAACTTTGTAAAAGTGTTCTTGTTGCATATTAAATTTTACATAACAACAAAAAGAAAAAGTAAACAAAGGAGATCAAATAGATTGTACATAAATTAAATTAAGCAATCATACAACATCAAATAAACAGCCAAAAAGTTCAGTACAATCTTAACTTCCGAATTTACTACATTGTCTTGACATCATGTTCTAAACAAAAACCAAACCAAAGTTCTCCACAAACCTGTCGGTTTTTAACCAAACCAAAGTTACTAGCTTAATTGAATAACAAAACAGAACTGATCCAGAAACCCAAATTGACAAATTGTCAAATTGTCAAAAAAGAGGTCACCTTTAGGCTTTGACATCTGGTATAGTATAAAAATTGTAATAAATGCAAACATAAGATCCAAAACTACACCTTATTAGAACGGAGGAATTAAGAGTGACATAACTCACTCCAACTACGACCAGTACAAGTAGTTGGCGACATTAACTACCTCTCACCAACCACCAAACCCAATCCCCACAATATTACCATTACTCTCATATAACTACACAAATTCATATTTACATTTTTTGCCAACACAACTCCTTATAAGATAAACACTTCATCAACCTATAGATCTCACTCACATAACCATCCTAAAAAAAAAAATGGGTAGATCCAACGAGCAAGATCTACTCTCTACCGAGATCGTCAACCGTGGGATCGAACCATCCGGTCCTAACGCCGGTTCACCAACGTTCTCGGTTAGGGTCCGGAGACGTTTGCCTGATTTTCTTCAGTCGGTGAACTTGAAGTACGTGAAACTTGGTTACCACTACCTCATAAACCATGCGGTTTATCTGGCGACCATACCGGTTCTTGTGCTGGTCTTTAGTGCTGAAGTTGGGAGTTTAAGCAGAGAAGAGATTTGGAAGAAGCTTTGGGACTATGATCTTGCAACTGTCATCGGATTCTTCGGTGTCTTTGTCTTAACCGCTTGTGTCTACTTCATGTCTCGTCCTCGCTCTGTTTATCTTATTGATTTCGCTTGTTACAAGCCCTCCGATGAACTCAAGGTACGTACCAATCTTTTCATAGAGGAAATAGTCTAAATTAAGTGTACCTAGAAACTATAATTAGATGGATGGATGCCTAAACCAGGCTAAATAAAACGAAATTTGTGCCTTTGCATGTGTTGTTTGGTCAATTATTTTTCAATTTATATAAAAAGAGTAATTATATTTCAAAAACTTTAGATAGTGGTTACGTTTATTTAATCAAAAACCGGATGGTTTCGTAGGATTATGAAAAAGCAGATAAACTAAAATACCGAATTTAAAGAAACCGGCTTGACTTATATATTTAATTGGATTTATCTTTTTTTTCTTTTGAAAACCTAATTTACAACTATAATCAGTGGAGATTGATAGGAACCGGACTGATAATTAAATGAAGCTGAACCAAACAAAACAAAAGTCCATTCAATTCCGGTTATTTCCGGTTTAATCTATTTTGCATTGGATTTGGTTCAGGTGACAAAAGAAGAGTTCATAGAGCTAGCGAGAAAATCAGGAAAGTTCGACGAAGAGACACTCGGTTTCAAGAAGAGGATCTTACAAGCTTCAGGCATAGGCGACGAGACATACGTCCCAAGATCCATCTCTTCATCGGAAAACATAACAACGATGAAAGAAGGTCGTGAAGAAGCCTCTACAGTGATCTTTGGAGCTCTAGACGAGCTCTTCGAGAAGACACGTGTCAAACCTAAAGATGTAGGTGTCCTTGTGGTTAACTGCAGCATCTTTAACCCGACACCGTCGTTGTCCGCAATGGTGATTAACCATTACAAGATGAGAGGGAACATACTTAGTTACAACCTTGGAGGGATGGGATGTTCTGCTGGAATCATAGCTGTTGATCTTGCTCGTGACATGCTTCAGTCTAACCCTAATAGTTATGCTGTTGTTGTGAGTACTGAGATGGTTGGGTATAATTGGTACGTGGGACGTGACAAGTCAATGGTTATACCTAATTGCTTCTTTAGAATGGGTTGTTCTGCCGTTATGCTCTCTAACCGCCGTCGTGACTTTCGCCATGCTAAGTACCGTCTCGAGCATATTGTCCGGACTCATAAGGCTGCCGACGACCGTAGCTTCAGGTTTCATTTTTTCCGGTTTTTATTCGTTTTACAATCTTTTGACGACCTAGTAACTAATTGTGTGTGGTTTTTAGGAGTGTGTACCAGGAAGAAGATGAACAAGGATTCAAGGGTTTGAAGATAAGTAGAGACCTAATGGAAGTTGGAGGTGAAGCTCTCAAGACCAACATCACTACCTTAGGCCCTCTTGTCCTCCCTTTTTCCGAACAGCTTCTCTTCTTTGCTGCTTTGCTCCGCCGAACTTTCTCACCTGCCACCAAAACCTCCACAACCACCTCCTTCTCTTCTTCGGCCACCGCAAAAACCAATGGAATCAAGTCTTCCTCTTCCGACCTGTCCAAGCCATACATCCCCGACTACAAGCTCGCCTTCGAGCACTTCTGCTTCCACGCGGCAAGCAAAGTAGTGCTCGAGGAGCTTCAGAAGAATCTAGGCTTGAGTGAAGAGAACATGGAGGCTTCAAGGATGACACTTCACAGGTTTGGAAACACTTCTAGCAGTGGAATCTGGTACGAGCTGGCTTACTTGGAAGCCAAGGAAAGTGTTCGTAGAGGCGATAGGGTTTGGCAGATCGCGTTCGGGTCAGGTTTTAAGTGTAACAGTGTGGTGTGGAAGGCAATGAGGAAGGTGAAGAAGCCAACTAGGAACAATCCTTGGGTGGATTGTATCAACCGTTACCCTGTGCCTCTCTAAATTATCATTCTTCTAAATTAAATCATGTAAGATCTCTAATTACTTCAACCAAAGGAGACAATTTGGTTGGATGATAGGAGTTATTTACTGATCATTCGTATCTAAGTCTACTACAAAAATGGATGTGGCTAGAGTCCTGTTCAGCTTCAACTTGTTTTATTTTTTGTTTGTTCTCTATTGGATCTTCATAAACTTTGAGAGATTAAAAAAACTCTTCTTTTTAGTTTTGATAGAACAGATGGTTGTTGTAATTTCTTTAATGTTTCAAAGTAAACAATTATTTTTTAAGGCAATCTATATTTAGAAACATAATAAATTTAATTTAGGTGTATAAGAATGTACTTGCACGATAATAAAGAAACATAACTTTCGGCTGAGTAGTGTTTATGTAATTTAAATTGTTTAATTAGTTAATTAGTTGTGTAGCAATAAGTTAAGTGAGTAAGCACGTACAGAGCCCAATGTAAACTGTTTTAAGAGGGTTATTGGTAGGTTAGGTTTTTAAAATTATTGGTATGATGATTTTTTAATTTATTTATTGTGGTGATCTTTTTAGTTCCTAAGAAACTTTAATGGGTTTGTACAGTAATCGTATGTACTATGTTGAATTTTGTTCGAACAACTCATAAATTTAATCATAAGAAGTTTGGATTTGAAACTTCAAACTACATTTTAAAGTTTTTATTTCATTTTTGTATTGAAATGTCAAATTTATAAATCAAGCCAAAGTAATTATGTAAAATGATAGGAAACTGCAAATTATGGACAATGCCAACCCAACTTAAAAAAATTGTAACTCAATTTCATTTTTACCTCCTCTGTATTCCATACATCCATTCAATTTTTGATCATGGCTATAAATTCAAAGTCTTCACTTCTATAAAAAGATAACGATCATTAGTAAAAGCTATAAATGTTCACAAAAGTAGAAGATATATAAACATGAATACTAGATTTAATATTCTCAAGCTTAGTGACTAATTTTTCCACGTTTAAATCTTCATCATCCTGATACCAATCTTGAGTGCAAATAAGAGCTTCCACAATGATATGAGTCAAATTGTCTCAAGTTTACTTTCTCTCGGCTAAGAGATTGTTAATAGCATTTAAGAGTCGAATTCCACAAAGTTCTTTTGTTCACGTAGAAAATTATTAGTCTCAAAATCAAGCTAAACAGAAATAATGTAAATTAAAACAAGAAACAACAATTAAAATCGGGTTTAAATTATATGGAAAAAACGTCAAACTTACGAAAATTCTCAGAAAATATCAGAATTGTAGTTCTAGCAGTCATTGTTAGGATTAGTTAGGAATCGTTGTAGAACTCGAATCATGAAATAATAATCAACCAGCTCTACTTTGTATTGATTATCTATGTCTAATGTTCAGAATCCCTACTCTCGTCTGTAAATTCTTTAGATTAAACAAGCATTAAAAACAAGTTTGATATGTTCACAAAAGTACCTTAACCAAATCTCTTTGAGAATAGTTACCTTTGCCCACCTAAGATAGTTCAGGAATTCTAGTGCACTCTCGTGTCAAACTATCAATCCTAAGATCAAATTCTAGTTAACTACTCTAGAATTTTCATTAAGAACAATCAAAAGTGAAGAATTCTCTATATTTATCCTAATAGTTTATCGATCTAACAATTCACCTAAATCCCTATTGAGAATCCCTAAACCTAACAAACAGACTACTCATACATGATCATGGAAACACAAAACATGCTTTGAATATAAAGCATATAAGAAATCAAAGAGAAGATAGAGAATAGAGATTAGAAAGATCTTCTCTCTACAGGGTTTTGAATTTTGAAAGAAACCTTTTCTCCAAATATTTTCTAAAGAGTTCCAAGCTCTCAAAATCCAAGAGAATTGCAAAAGAAAAAAAATTGATAGGTCTAACACAATGACCCAAAAAGCTATTTATAAGTCTTTAAAAACGTTCAAGGACTAATATTGCAAATAGAGAAGTCTTCTGGGGTCTTCTTTAAGTCTTCCAAACTTATTAGTTCTCGAGACTTTTCTGGACCGCGAATGGTGTCGACCGACACCAATCAGTGTCGATTGACACTGTTGACTTGGTCTGACTCCAGATTTGTTTCTTCAGCTTAACTGTCTCGGTTTTGCTCCTAAATGCTCCATTATCTCCAAATGCATCCCAATCGTGTAAACACCTGGAAAGACTCAAGAAATAATCAAAAGACTCTAAAACCAATACTTATATCATGGGTAAAAACTGTTAAAACCATGATATATCACACAGTCTTTGGTGTCAGTGAACTTTGAAAACGATCTAGTTCTCGACAACTTGAGAGATCCGTTTCGGAAAAGCTGGAACATGTATATTCATCATTAAGTCATTGAAATCTATATTAAAATAAAAAATTCTCTTATTTTCACATCATTTTGGAAAATTCAGCGAAAGAGTCGACAGAAAACACGGTATACTCATACTTTATCGAGACAACGTCTTGCCGGGTAGAGCGTAGGTTGAAGAAGTGGGACAACACCTTCAAGAAAATGAAGCGACTCGTGGGTCTGGTCACCAGAACCAAAAACTGTGGAGCTCACTTCATGGTTTGGGCGATGGATGAGGAATGTGTTTTTTCCTCCCCAAGAGCATGCGACCACCACTCTGCTGCGAGAGCCTTTGTTAGAACCGTTTGTCCGCTCGTGCTGTTTGCTCGTATATGAGAAGTTAAAACCACTATGTCCTAGATTTGGGATTCTTATAAGGAAAGCCTCCGAGTTGGATAAGAAGTTTGTTGGAGGAGGCCAAGACCGAAGCCATAGCCTTTTCCGATGCAATATGGAGCCAGTTGACTACTATCGAAGTATAATTATGTACCAAATCACAAGCACATCCAAGTTTTGGCTGATCTCAAGTGGCGATTTACCATCATTAAAAACAGATGCTGATGTGATAGTTGACAGATGTATAGCCATCCAATCGCTTCCCATATGTGACAACACCTTATATTTAGAGCATGTTATTCTACACCTTTGAATATCATAGAAATTAGAGACTAGCTTTGATTTTACAATATTAGCCTCTTCACTTTCCTCAGTATCGTCAAATATCGCATCCATCCGTGAATGTCTCTTCTCTTTGTTCTTGAATTTCTATAATCTTGGAATACGTCAAATATGTTTATATTCTAGAGGTTTGCACATTCACCTATAATTTTTCATATTTATCATCAAAAATGTTTTTCTAAACATTAAATTGCTTGAGTCGAAAACATAAAATTTATAGCATAAAACATTGATTTTATTTAGATTAAATTGTTTCAACACATATTTTTAAAATTATTGATATAAATTCTTATATTCTAAAACAATTAAAACAATTTTTTCTAAATTAATAATTATTAAAAAACAGACCCTAGATAGCCCTTGTCTAAATATAGAGGATCCAAATTAAGAAAAAAACATAAAAACAAATGTTTCATATGTAGCATATTGACCTACATAGTGTGTCTGATCAACATCCAAATGCGGAAAACAATACCATTTGACATGCCATTTTGACCACCTATCATGAGAAAACTAACCTATAATAGTACAGTAAAGAAAGAAAGAATATACATTAAGTTACATGATATAAGGTAGCAAAACGGGTGTCATACTCAATAGTGATCTTCGTTTGTCACCAAATACCCATATCTTCAGACAAAGCCAAATAGTGGACATGGTAGAAACACTACAATAAAATAATTTATTGTTAGTATGATTTTTTAAAGAGACAGGAAAAACGAAAAAGAATATTGTTACCTGAGGAAAAACTTCCTCCACCAAGACAAGTGGCATGATATTGACCATAAAAATAAAAGAAATTTTCACGAAAGCAATGAAAAAAAGATTTACTCTCACGATTTGGCAAAGTGAGATTCGGTTCTCAGGGTTTGACAATTAAGGCAGATTCTGACCAAAATACCCCTAACGACAGAAATTAAACATCACAGTAGATTCGGTTCAGTTTCTTTAGCTTCGGTTCAGTTTCATTTGGTTTGCGATTTTGTTTTAAATTTGTTTAAGAAAAAAAAAAAACAAAGAAAACGAAGAAGAAGAACGAGAGATACAGAGAGAATCGAGAGAGAAGTCAAATTTCTTATCGAAATTCATTCATCCATCTTCGTCTTTCGAAATCTTCGTTGCAATTGTTCTGCAAATTAATTTGAGACATCTCATTCAAGTCGAATATCCGGCGAAAAGCAAGTTAGTGATTATCCGGCGAAGAACAACTCAGAAATTTCGGCGAGATAGCAACCGTTGTTGAGATGTCTGGGAATAAAGATAAATCTGAGGGCTGCAAAATTAGGGTTGCAGAAGAGGAGGTTGAAGACGACAGGAAAATTACAGTTTTACCCTTCATCGAATTTCTTCTGTGTACGTATATATAATTTACGGTGTACGTACACGAACATATTTAGTGGAACGTATATGATACAATATTAAAGTGGTTGTAATAATTATATATCTAACCACCCTCTTTTGACTCCAAAATTAAGCTATTTTGTTACTTTCGTCTATCTCAATAAAATTCATGCATATATAATAATTAAGTAAAAATATATGGTCAAAGAATATTTGTTCCTCATATTTCTGAAAAGATTATGTACGTATACGTATAGTAATGTACGTACATCTTTGTTGGAGAGTTAAAAATTTGTTAAGATAAATTTATTGATACAATAATAAACTAATATTGGCGACATGTACCATTTGTGTATATCAAACATTCATCGTCAGATACTTCCTTGTGTACATTATTAGTAATGTACGTACATTCTTCTAAAAATCATGTTTTACCTCCTGGTTATGACTACAAATGGTTGAATATCACCATTCTCTCCAAAATGATCGATGCTTTTTCAATTACGTATATGTTAATTAGTATACGTACACATTTCTAATAATCAACTGAATTTTCATGTTAGCCCCACAGTAAGTTGAGTGTCACCAGCATTCCCGACATGTCCTATCCCATATTTTTCAACAACAAGATGAGTCAACTTATTGTAATGTAATCTTCGCCACTACCTTGTAGCAAAAGCAAACTTTGATTGCAAGAAAAGCCATTGTTTGTTGTATGACTTGCATGTTCATAAAAACACTCCCCACATACAAAGTAACACTTGTCGTACTCAGTTCAACTTGTGTCTCATCGGCTCAAAAATTGGGTAAATCATCGAATAGAGGAGCAACATCATTATCGAGAATCTTCGCCTCACAACCATGTAATGAAGAAAACCCATTATACACTCTGTAAGCCTCATATGCGGTTACTAGCCGGTTATCATGTACTACCCCACTTGCTGAACCTCCAATACCACACTCTAGAACAGCATCCCCAGTCACTTCGTCTCTACCATTAACTTTGTCTCTACCATTAATATTGGTATCCGTGTACGTAACAAAATCACCTTCGCATCATGTATCTTGTACACATTCTCTAGTGTACGTACATTGGTACAAAGTACAAACCATGTCGATACTTACGGGTTGGAGTCACGGTTGGTGCAATGTCACCCAAATAAAAAATGTTTTCTCCGTCAGGTACACGCTGACTTGTGTACGTACACTCTGCCACTAAACGACTGAATTCCCCTGGATGTTCCACAGTATGTTCAGTGTGAATGACGTCTTCCTCAACATTCCCAATTTCATATTCTTCTTCAATTAAATCATTCCACTTGTTGTAATCGTATTCTTCGCCACTACCTTCACTACCGTCTATAGTAGGATCGAGGGTACTTCCCCCCCATAGATCCATCGTCACCCTCATGATCATCATACCCATCACCATCTTCGTTGTCCTCCTCCTCTTCATCCTCATCTGTTTTATCGTCTTCAACGTCGTCTTGCTCATCTACGGCTTCATTATTTGCATCGAAATTTGAAGCCGCTACAATGGAATTTGGTGTCTTTGCACTTTTAGACACAAGGTCACTTTCAGCATCGTCACCATCGGTCCTAGGGACAGTATTTCTGAGTGCCTTGACGGTTGTAATGAAAGAGACAAACAAGTTGACACTAGGATCTCCACCACGAATCAAAAAGAACGTATCCAGGCTCATTTGATTGTCAATGTAGACAAGAGGGCGTTTACTTTCTATCATCACTGACATCTTTCCCGGCATCCAGTAACTAATTATGGAATTGCATTCGGTGGACTTCAAACTGAAAACCTCGCATAATGTACGTACAAATTCCGTGTACGTCATGTTTTCCTTAACACGTACACAGCGACCAAACATGCCTTCCTCTGGTTCAAATTTCCATTCTTCTTCTTTGCATCTCCACTCACCCACCGTAGTAAATACGGGAATATCCATTACCCACCTGCATCATAAATTCAGCAGAACCCCATTAAATACAACTGAAAACATGATTATATCTACAAAAAACAAAAAGAATTTCCAACTACACACTTATAAACATATATAAATCCTCATTTAGAATTTTCAACAAACAAAATTGGAAATAAAAATTTCTGGGTTTTTATATAAAAAACAATGTTGATTTCGAACACAATCAAGATCCTACTGTGTTATAACAAAAAACTTCTTAACCAACTGCATTACTTACACGATCAATGCTTGTCTTGGCTCCAAACTTTGTAAATCAACAAGATCAAAACTTCTCCAGCATCACATTCGTTCAGACTAATTTTTTTGTTTGATGGTTCATGCTTATCTCTTACAATTATTCAATTCACACGTATAAACTAATATTACAACAAGTGTAATGATGAGTTTTGCATTAAATGTGACAAGAGTCTTGTCTAAACTTTTTAGCCATTAAATATTGATGTCTCTTTGTTTTTTAATGTAATTATTTCCCTTTTTCACTGTACAGCCGCACAAAACATTAAAAAAACGAAATTATCTTAACCAAACCGGAACAGTGTACCTAACTGAACCGCTTAATTGAACCGTACACGGAACAGTACGTCGGTACGCTGGCAGGGGTAAAATGGTCAGATTTTGGCTAAATTGTCAAAACATGAAAACCAATTCTCATTTTGCCAAACCATGAAATTAAAAGATGGTCTTATGCCCTGGCCTGCAATTTACCCTAAAAATAATCAGATGGTCCGATGGCGAAGAACATCTCACATAATTGCCAAGGACAAGAAATAACTTTCTTTCTTGATGTATGAACGTGTAACCAATACTTCATACTCTCCCATGCATCTCTTTGATAAGGTTTTAAGAGATCGATTTTCCATTTCTCCAGCAGAACCTGGTATAAAGCACGAAGGCCTATATTTATTTTATAATTTCTAATAAAAATAATTTTATATATTATCTTTTGTTATAAAAGACGTATGAGAATTTTTTTATATATATCAAAAATGGGCAAATATATCAAAAATGTCAATGCCCGTCTTCAAAATCTAAAGATTAACGGGCATATATCAAAAATGCAAATTTCATTGGTTTCATTGATAATGATAAATAGTTTCAAATTAGACGGTTGCAAATTATTGGTTTGTTTTGATTTTGACGGCGGTAAGTATGAAATGAGGGACATCTTTTTTTGTTAGATTTGTTTCCAAAACTATAATGTAATAAGACTGATTTATAATAATTATAATCTATTATTGTCGTTTGTATGCGACAAAAATTTTCATTATAAACAAGTTTAGTACATATGCTGATATGCAAAGGAGAAAAACAAAGCTCAAATTCACATCATTAAATTTATTGATATATTAGAGAATTCTATCGATTTCTTATTGAAATCTCAAAAGAAACTAAATAATCAATTACATATTTCTTAATTCTCTTTTATACATATCCCCTTTTTAATTTAAAATGTGGGATTTCTCATATTTAGTAAGAAATTCAAAAAAGTTATCGTCTTTCTTACCAATTCACATATAATAAAATAATAAACGAATTTTAGAGAGATAAAACAAATAAAAGACATATGAATCTATGAAAAACAAGCATACACGCTAACAAGTTTTACGTAGCGCATGAATTTTACCCACCTTGTCATATTTTTTTTTAGGATGCAAATGGTTGACCTAAATGAAGAAGTTGAAAGAGTTGAATGAACATTCATCTAGTTTTTTACTATTTGAGATGAAAGAGTTAAGAAAATAATTCAACCTATTCAACTTAAAAAAAAACTAAAAAATTGAACATATTATAGAGTAAAAATATTTAACTTATTCAACTACATTTTTTGCAAAAGAACCGGTGGAATAATATTCAACTCAACTTTTTTCAACTTAATATTTTCAAACCGTTTTCTCGTATACCCCTTTATTTCAAATAAAACGCAAATCGTCAAAATTATGGGCCTACTTCTTTTAAAATAGACCAGATTCAAAATCCGTCAATATGTCCGGCCCAGTACCAGGCCCAATAAGGGTCATCGTCAAGTCATGACGCCGTTCTTGACTAGCTTTCATTTGACCAGACTTGCTTCGTCTCCAAAGCAAAAAGCATCATCGTCGCTGAAGAAGAGAATGGAGTCATCTTTGTCGCAGAAGTTCACTCTTGTTTATGCTTCTCTCCTCGGAGGTATCGAATCTGATCGCTTCCTTCTTGAAGTTTTCAAATGATTTCGTTGACTTGATCCAGATTTTATACAATTAGATTTTGAGTTTTGATTATACTTGCTTCTTGGTTCTATCAATTCTCAGATGCTTCTCGAATTCTGCGGCAAATAGTTGGATATTGGAACGTTTTGTTGATAGTATTCACAAATTCACAGTGAATCACAAACTATAGATTCGTTTTGACCACTATGTGTGTAGTTAGAATTTGTTTTATATGCTTAAATCTTGCTTTTCAGATTTTTTTTTTTTTTGTGTGACAGCTTTAAACAATGTATTTGAGAGCATACAAACTTATCTAAAACCAGATAATTTTATATCACTAACCGTTTGTGATTATTTTTGGCATAGATACTTCAATGAATGTGTGTTTTCCTTCATAATTTTGCTTCCTTTTGTTTTCTCATTCAATAGTTTTTGTAGAACCTAGAATATTGAATTACTGCTGTCATTTGTCGTCTCTGCGATAGAATTACAGTCGCCGAGTTTGGTACACAAGGAAAATATAGGAACTAGATAGGAATGAGAATACGTTAGTAGGGATCTTAACAAAGATTCTAGACCATTAGTTAAATGTCCATCAAAATGCTGTATTCATTTTATGTGCTGGAAATTTGTTGGTGTCGTAAAGATTTTCTCGATGGTCAATGTGTGTTTTGTCCAAGTCCGCATAGAATAGGTCCATCAACTTCAACACGACGTCTTCCATCTAGGTTTTGCTTGACTTGATCCTTAGTTTGTTCGATTGCTACATATTGTTTGTCTTGACCAATGATAACGATGGGATCATCCATTTCTTATTTTTGTTCAGCTACACTTTGAGTTGTTGTTCATATAAGACAGTGAGGGGTTGAGACTTGGGTCATATCTGCTTCTAGTTTATACTGGTTTCTCCCTCTGTGGGTCAGTCCCTGGAGTTTCAGTTTTCTGAGAACGCTTTTTCTCGCCTTGTAGCTCTGTAATCTGCTCTATAGTCTCTTCCACAGCCACTAGTTACTGATCCATGTTATCCTGAACTTTAAAGAGCTTGTGTCATCTTTGAAATATCCGTCCAGGTTGGATAAACTGATTGAGTTAAAAGTCTATGATATTGGAAAACAATGTATAGGAATAGAGCTGCTTTTATTAACAGAATAGATACTGGAATACATAATCAGGAAGACAAGAATTATTCAACAATGACTCTAGACCTTTGTTCAGAGGTAACGCCATCCAAATAAATCCAATTTCTTATCTACTTAACTAATTTAGGACAAGTACACAAATTAAATATAGCTATCCTAAACCCATGACTTTAAGATAATAAACGCTAGTAGTGCAGGAGAGGAACCATTAGATAGTTTGGTTCCCATGACTTCACGAGATATTCACATCTCTATCATTGTCACTGTCTTGAGTACTATTTATCCAGGCTTTGTAATACGTGGTTACTAGTCTGATTGTAGTTTAGCATGTGTTGTTGTGTTAATAAGTGTGTTAGTTGTTAACTTCACGATAGAAACTGGTTCTATTGTCCCTTTCTGTCCAGAAAGGCGAGTGTTAGATATGGATTGTGGTAAATAACGATATTATCTGGTGGTGAGGTTTGGCATCATCATTGGAGTTTGTACTGTGACTTCTTGGTCATAATGTTTCAATAATGGTGTGTATCTATACTATACGTTTCTTCCATCCATTAATGAGTGTATTAGATCTTTCCCCAATGCAATTTGTTTTCCACTTCGTCATCTTCATCTAACATATAATGCTTTGACTCATGGAAATTGTTGTGGCAGCTGGTGGGTTGATGGGTTACCTGAAACGCGGAAGCAAAATATCACTAGTCGCAGGAGGAGGATCAGCGGCGTTGTTCTATTATGTATACACGGAGCTCCCAGGAAATCCAGTCTTAGCATCCTCCATTGGCATTGGTAAGAGAATCATACTTGCTGTTCATTCTTGGCAAATCGAGTCCAAAGTTCAAGTATGTTAAACAATATGCAGTGGGGTCGGCGGCACTGACAGGGATGATGGGATCACGTTACCTAAGGACGAGGAAAGTGGTACCGGCTGGAGTTGTGTCGGTGGTGTCACTCGTGATGACTGGAGCTTACTTACACGGCCTCATTCGCTCAAGTTGAAGCGTCTCTGCCATCTTCCTTGGACCTGTTTCCCAATATTGCTTAAAGCTTTTTTTGGTGGGCATTTCAAATTTCTGAAAATTGTTGTACAAATGCTTTGGGTGTTGTTTCTTTTACCAAGTTTTTATGTCCCGGTGTAATTTTATGAGAATATATATGCTGTTGAGTAAATGAATGAATAATTGATCAATGAAGAGTAAATACAATAAATGAGATGAATATTTGCTTGATCAATGAAATAAAGAAAACTTTCTTACAAATGTTACTAAAATAATACCCAAAAACACGTTTCATTTCTATATGAACTTAGTATCCAAGGCTAATTAAACATTATGTTCACCATTTAGTATGGTGTCTCCAAAAAAAGATGAAAATAGAGTAGTATCAGATATGGTAGCTCAAGATGAAAATCTCTGTGAGAGTTTGAGTAGGAATGATAATATCTTAGAGAAACTAACTCAAGATGGAGATATAGAAAGACTCTATGAGTTGATAAGAGCAGATGAAAACATTCTAGGTCACTTTGATAAAATGCCCTTTTGTGAGACGCCACTACACATTGCAGCTGAAAATGGGCAAACTCATTTTGCCATCGAAGTAATGACCCTTAAGCCGTCGCTTGCTTTGAAGCTCAACGTGTCAGGTTTCAGTCCAATGCATTTAGCACTGTCAGAACAACCACATTCGAATGGTGAGAGGGTTATGGTACATTGATACACTGAAAATCAATGTATTCATAACTCATAAGTATACGCACATGCAATTAGGTCAAAAACGATAATGGGTTTATGGTAATTAGAAATTATTTGGTAGTTTCATTAAAGTGAGAATTTCAAACCATCTTATTGTCATTGCTTTTCTCTTTGCAACATGATAAAAGACCAAGACTTTTAAAGCTCGGACAAAGAGAGCTAACCACATAAACCTTGACTAAGTAAACGTGATGCGACAGAAGATAAGGCCAATGACTCAAAGTTAATGGGATAAGATCACTTTTGTTGGCAAATTTTGACGTAAGAAAAAACACCACAAAAATAAGTTACTTTAATTCCATCTGCACAAATGCATTTGTATTTTACATTATAAATTTTCACATAATTAGAAGAAAAACAACAAACGAGAATCCTCTCTATCCGCACAAATCCAACCAACTTCTCAAGGCTTCTAAACAATTGCTTTTTACTTTTACTACATAAATATCAGTGTTAATGGTCATACAAGTGATAAATCGTTTGCCCAAAAAAAAAAGTGATAAATCAAAGTAAATCCACAAACTTACAGTTTAATCTCTTAACCAAATCCATATAGTTTCTCTAGCTAAACACTAGCAACAATAGTATAATAAAGTAAAGAACAACTTCACAGAGTACTTCCTGAACTGGATAAAATTGACAACATCACATGTGAGATCCAATTTTGGTCTTTGCAGATCAAAATATGCATCAACTTGTTCATGCACCTTCTCGAGAAGCGTAGCTTTTTCAGATCCATGATTTTCTAAGATGAATTAGCTACGCTTCTTCGAGCTGGTGCTTGAACGAGTTGATGGAATCAATCAGTGAATTATACCAAAAAGTAACTAAACAAAGAACAAGCAAAGAAACAAACATGGTTAGATTATAAAACGTATATAATCTTGAAAACTAGAACTACACAAGTCTACAAGCAAATGAAACTTCATTTGTTTTTATTGAGTGATGATGCTACAACTAGCTACTAAGGGATAGATTTTATAGAGGGGGAGATTTCAAGAGATAGATAGATAGATAGATAGGGTTCACACTGATTTTTCTCTACACCATTCACGTGTCACATGTCCCTCAATTTGGGCTTTCAGAGGATTCGAGGCCCATTATGAGCCACCGACACATCTTTCATCTTTCATCTCGACGAAGACCAACCTTGAAGACAAAGTTTGTGCGATTGTTGGAGACAACGAATCAAAAGAATGTTGCAAAGTATGGTAATATTATTAACAATGGTGCTCTTTGGTTCTGCATTCGGATGTTCGGTTGATGTAACACAAATAAAACAGCGTATTAATTCAGACGCTGCATTTGGATGCAAAGCAAATTGAACAACTGTATATTTTTAGCTTGCCACAAAAGGTGAGTTTTTATGTCATAGCGGTTCAAAGATCACATAACATGAAAAATTGCACACAGAATGCAACTAAAGTTACAAGCAAACTCATTACAAATCTTTTCCTTATCTGAAAAAATGATTTGTACCTCTGTATGATGCCTGCTGTTAAGTGGACTTCATCTTTTCCCGCATCTTGTATTGCAGTGTTGCGGGAGCACAATCTAGCGGTGTTTCTCCTGGTGACGCATAACAATTTATATACTTTAGGCGAAACCAGAGAAGTTCCCATGTGAAAGGAAAGTATTCACAACTACCACAAAACAAATGAATCACTGACTACACTTGTTTTCCTTAACATGCTTTTTGCAGGTCATTGATTTAGACACATCATGAAGGTAAGATTTGTGTGGCATGAGAATTACCTTGTGCATTCTTGTACTCGAGGCTTGCTCCATGATCCATCAACATCAATGCAATATCAGTTTGGTTGAAAAGGACAGCCTGAGGAAGTCAAAGTTTATGTTATTACTATATTTAAACTTACCTAAGCAAATCAATCACACATGAGGAGCGATATGTTTACCAGATGAAGCACTGACATTCCCTGCTTGTCTCGGTAATTTGCATCTACGCCCTGCAACTCCTACAGTTTTAGCCTCTCTTATACACTTAATTAAGCGCAGCATCTTAATTGGAGATTAAGTACCTCTTTTAGAAGCTTTTTCACACCAGCAATGTCACCATTCTTAATAGCTTCCCTTAATCCCTTTTCACAAACAAATTCCACAAAATCAATGAATACTCTGTCAGGAAAAATAAACTATGGTTTATTTCTGTAATGAAATGTCAAGAGTTACCTCCCCACTGGCTTCATAGTCTCTTTGGGGGGTGTCTAGTCCAGGATTAAGAGCTGATCTGAGATTTTCAACAGCTTAATAACATATCAAAATACTAAAAAAGATATAGAAACTTCTCGATGGCAGCGAGTGAATTTTAAATATCATTTGTCAGTTGCCACAAAAACGAATATCGAAAGCAAGTTTTCTACACAATTGCACGAAAAGCAGAACCAATTACACAAGAAACTATGAGTGATTTAATCGGTCCAGTTGAAATGCAAGAGCAAGCAAATTTCATGTTGATACTTCCCTTGCCCTAATCAAGTAAATGAAATCTAAAGCTCATGGAGTAAACTCTAGACACAAACTTTTGCCTTGATACTACGACTATATACTAACATACCTAGCATTGCTGCTGGAAGTGGAACCTTTACTTTTTGCTGAAGTCTCTGACTTTAACTGAGGGAGAACCACAGGAGCAACGGTAGCCTGTTCCAAAAGCATCTTCAGAAAATATATATTGTAAGGAAAACATCTACCGAAAATGAGTATTTACCGGTGGGTTTGGTTTATCCGTTGATTTGGAAGGAGCTACACAGATGCACAGAGGCATACCACACTTGCATTCCATTGTTTCACTACCTCCAAGGCCCATATCGTCGTCAATTTCCAATCTCGAAACTTCTTCGATTAGAGAATTAACTTTATTGGAAAACAGCATACAAATGACTTCTTTGCCTTTGTGAATAACCTTGCTGCCACAAGTAGAAATAAGAAGAACGTAGACAGATTTATCAAATAGTTTCTAATTTCTCCTTGTACAATTTGGTTTTGTAATTGATCATTTTGTAGCTTACGATACATAATTTTCCTCAAATTCCTGTTTCGGTTTTCGACTGCATCAAATTCGTTAAATGGGGTTCTCTAAATTTCCAAAATTTGAGTCATAATAATCTCCCAAATTGGATTCCAAGTATCAGTCTCATTCAGATTTTGATCTGCAAATTTTCACTAAATCTTACGGAAACTAAACAAAACCTATCGAAGCATTTACCTAGACAAGAGTAAGAACCCAAGATCTAAAACCACAAACCCTTAACAACACAAAATCACAACAAAAGTTCATGTGGAAAAGCTGTAAAATCAGAGAAGCAAGCAACGAAAGTGGACAATTATTCAATTTACCTGTCAAAGATGCCGACGACTGCGTTGAAACAAAATCGCCGAAAGCTCGAAGAAGGAGAAGAAAAGATGATCCAAGTGATTGAACCATTGATCATTTATTATTTTAAAACTCAGATCAATATTGAAGGACAGAAAAAAAGAAATGAAAAAATATTATTATTATTTCTTTTTTATATTTTGAGAAGAAAAATTGTCCAAGACTACCACTATCCGGTAAATCTTTTTCACTTGTACTACAGTGGGTAATTGTTTTTTAAAAGTACAATATTTATGTGACATTGTGGTAGTTTTGTGACCATTTTACTTTTAGCGAATGTGCATACTTGTGCCAGAACAACATAAGAGCAAACACAGTGGGATAATTTTTAGAGGGGTGTGAGTAATAAAAAAATCGAAAATAAGGGAATAGTGCGTTTGGAGACTGAATCCGGGTGTGTGATAACACTCGGGTGTTATCTACACGTGTCTTCCTGTGAGTGGTTGCGATGAATAAAGACAGCAGCTTTAAGCTTGACAACGATTTCGGTTAGTCTTTTTCTTTATTTCTAAACTTAACCTCTTATATTATTTTAATAATAAATTACCACTAACACACATCCTCCCACTTGTCCCATTGTGTATGCCCTAAGTGATGATGATGGAAGAATTGCATTTAATGCAACCACTCAAATCCTGTTTAAAATAAAATACATATATTTTTGGCCTTCATATGTCTCACTTCAAATGATTCGGTGAGGGACTAATTAGAATAGGCGGGAGACTAGTTGAAATAGGCTATTAGTTTTTATCTTTAACATTGTTGGAGGACAATTCAGATGTCACAGGGACATTTTTTCTAGTTGTTGGACTTGGAAACTTGTCCTCGTGGGTAGGACTAGGATACTTGTCCCCATGGCGCTCATAATTTCGTTTAGGAGTTCATTTTTCATTAACGATTTCTCTATTCGGTACATCCTTCTTAGTTCATCCATCAATTCAATCTTTAGCTCAGTAAATTTTATAATCAACTTGTTGCATAATAAGTGCGTGGAAGACATTTTGTCCCTTTGTGTTAAGACTAGTGGTGACAACAAATTAGGGATACTGTATAGTCAAAATTGGGGACAAGAATATTGAATAATTTATGAAAAATACAGTCAAAATCTGGATAGCGATGGTTTACCTCTCGTTCCTAGGACTTGAGAGAACATAAACGATGATAAAAAATTTCCTCAAATCATATAAAGCAAAACTTAAAAACGAAAACAACCACTATCACTCCAATTAAAAAAAAATGTAGCAAAAAATCAAAGACTAATTCTAAAACGTAATTTTTCTTCCTTTCGCCACTACAAAATTATTAACCAAGCTTTCAAAGTTAACATCTTTAACCAACTTCCTTTCGATAGAAAAAATAGCCAAGTCACTCAATCTCTCTTGTGACATACTTGAGAGAAGATAAGACTCTATCAACTTCAACTTTGAATTTTTTTTTCCGCAGATGCAACTGAAACCGGAATCATAAGCAATCCATGAATTTGGATAACAGTCCTCGACAGGCTTCAAAAAATCTAGCACTTGAATAAGTCTCTTAATTTCTCTTGCTCAGCTTCTCTTAAAACTTTCAGCTCAAAATAGAGATAATTACTAACAATATCTGAATAATTTCCATAGGTTAGAGAGGGTTCAAGATTGGTACAAGATACCATCAAACTATCATCACTCGCGGACTGCAATTTCCTCAAATCAAATAAAAAGCCAAATATTTGTTCATACCTCTAAAATTCTTCAAATCTTGTCTTAAGCGAGTGGGCTTGATCTATAATTTGAATGAAGTAGTCAATTCTAAAGCTCTCCTCTGGTGGTAATACTACACTTCCTTCCCCCTTCTCAGATTCTTCACCATAATGTATTTTTCTTCTAATGGTCCGCTTTGCTTTTTTGGGGAATACATCCTCAATCTCCATAGAATCTACTACTTCTTTAGCTTCTAATTAATTTTACTTTCTCAAAATCTGTATCTCTGTACTTTTGAAAATAAGAAACCAGCCCCTTTAATTGATAGATAGCAACATCAATGTCCATGTCTTCTGATTGTAAACTCTTACTGACAATGTTCACAATTGAAAGAAGATTGTACCAAATAACCATAGAAACCAAGAACACAAAACTTCCAATTCCGTGTGTTTCACTTGTTGCAAGACACTTAGCGTCGCTTTGCTCTTTTGGATCATCACTATTCTTAGCTATGTAAACTAAAGCTTCCATAATTTTAAGAGCTTGAAATCGTATTGTCTTAACACTTTCAACATGACTCTTCCATCGAGTATGTGATAAAGGCTTGAGTGTTAGGCCTCCCACCTTATCTTTAAATAGTTTCCACCGCCTAACTGAAGATGCAAAAAAACAATATGTGCGCTGAATAATTCCAAAAAAGAGATTGCCTTTGAAGAAATGGTTGCCATATCAAAAAGAGCAAGATTAAGACTGTGACAACCACAAGGTGTATAAAATGCTCTTTTATTAATCTCGAGTAATCGTTTTTGTACTCCTTTATGTTTTTCCTTCATATTAGAGCCATTGTTTTAACCTTGCCCCCTAACATCACCAACTTTCAAGTCAAAAGCAGCCAACACATCTTGTAGCTCACCAAAAAGTCCTTCGCCAGATGTATCATCAACTTTCAAGAATGTTAAGAAAAATTCTTCGATCTTAGTTGAAGCTAAGTTGTTGAAACATCTACACACCGGACGACAACAATCATCTGTTCTTGATGGCTAATATCTGGAGTGCAATCAAGAATAACAGAAAAGTGATTAGCAAGATAGTGCGAAAGCCAGCTTGCTAGTCACCATCTTTATCCCGAAGACTTCATCCTGATGCCTACATCATTTTTTATTTCCTTAACGACCAAATAAGCGCTTGGGAAGTTTCATATGTTGAATTCATTTCCACGAATCTATTTTTCGGTGGCCGTGGAAAGCTAGAAGAGTCAAGATTCGCCTCGAAGTGGAATCAAAGAAAACCATTTAGCCATTCGGAAGTTATGCCAAGAAAAGTGAAGACATGTCCCGGACCGGCCAAACAGCCTTACACCCGGTCCGGAGCCTCCTGGCGCCCCCGGTCGTGAAGCTCGTGCCCGGGCCTGCCTTCACACGTCCCACCGGTCATCCTCCGTCTTATCCGGCCCAGAAACTCGAGCCCTCACTTAACCTAATCCGTGGGAAATGACGATTTTTCCCCTTGACCTAATCGAAGCCTATAAATACCGAGACAAAGTGTTGAAACCCTACGGCCTCTCAACCCTAATCTCGACAGCCTCCAGCAGCCTCACCGACGAGACTCTCAGCTCTCCTAGCTCCACCTCATCGAAGCTCTCTTGCCATCGAATAAGTCGTCCTTTGAAGCTCTTCCTTTGTTCTTCATTGTTTTCTCTTCTACTCTCTCTTCTACTCTTTCTTTCAAGACTTTTGGGGAGACAAGTTATCTTCTGTGACACTAGAGAATTCTTCTTTGAACCCCTTTTGTTTTATTGAATTTTTTTATTATGCTTTTCTACTTCATCTCCATGTCGTTTCTTAGCATCATGAGCGAGTAGTTTTCTTTGTTGGGTTTTATGGGGTGATTCAAAGGGGATTCATGGTTCAAATCATATTAGGTTTATAGATCCGATATTTCGTTCACAATTAGATTCTTTTAAGACATCTTTTACTTAATGCATGTGTTTGGATTGATCACCAAACGCTGATCCAAGAGGTTAGGAGCTCTAACCGGATAAACCTAATCTCAGACATAGTGTTACCAATCCTTCGTGTTGTTGCCTGCGTAAGTTGAATAACAGGACTTAGAGTACTTAGCGAATCCAACCCTAATGTGTCGATCTATGCATCGTTGCCTGCGTCAGTTGAGTAACGGAGTATAGGAAGATTTGCTGGCTTATTCTATAACCTAGGATAACTCGTTCATTCGCCTTTCGTAGTTATGAACTAGAACGAAAACATAAACCCTAGTTAGTCGGGAACCATAATACCCTAAGAAATCCCAGAACGCCCAACGTCTTAGTCTATCGTTTACAATCGTTTATCATCTTAGCTTTCATTAGTTTACTAGCTTTCATTTATTTGCTTTCTTATTTCATTGCATTAGTCATTAGAAAACCCAAAACCAAACCCCCAAAGTTTAGTTTTATCTTAGCTAGATTTTCTTGTTGAATTCAATAACCCGTAGCTACACTCTCTATGGGATCGATCCTAAAATACTACTCTGATTACTGTGCATTTGTAGTTTAACGTATGGTCTTTCAGGTAAAATTTCTGAACTGAAATTCCACTCCCTATCAAAATTAATACTATATAATTTAACATGTAACTTATAAACTATTTTACAACGAAAACTTTCAACACCATACCCATCAGTACCACTATTATTAATACCACATATAACACTTGTAGTAAACATCTTTATTTTAAAATAAAGTTAAAATAAAGTAACTTTCTTAATTCTAATATGAAATATCTATTAATATCTCAAAATATATAATAGTTAAAAGTTCTCACAAGTTGGAAAATATGATTCATGAATAAA